TCGAGGTGTATCCAAACAGCTAATTCACTCTGTCAGGAAATGTCAAACACACGAGCAGAAGCATTTCCTAACATCAAGCAAGATGATAACTCGTCCAGTGATCAATGATTATGATTAGGAAGGAAAAAACACAACAGAAACGTTTGGATGAAACACGTGGATTTTGGGAATAAATAATCTTCTTACTGACTTATCTCACAGTCCTTGCAATTGAGCAATTTTCGGTCTGTTTCTACACCACCTGGACTAATTATCCAAGTTCGATAGCAGCATAGAGATCATCAAAACAACGGAAGGGGGGAGGGGGACAATAATACGGAAGCATTGGATTCACAAGCCCTGTGTGTTTACTTACCGCAGTCATCTGGTTTCCATGTACTTCCCGAACAACGTGCGTGGTATTGTCCGGATGTTTTTGTACTTGACAAATTTTATCGTCCGATTCCTTGGTGAAAGTGGACTAGACAAGAAGAGAGGAGAAACAGGGAAAGAGAGAGAGAGAGAGACGGGAAGGGTGGTGGATTAACGCATCTGAACACAACATTTTGAATGTGCTGTTTTCTGTACACACCATTGTACAATAAATAGCACCATAACCAGGAACTATTGTGTATTCATGATAACCTGGGACATGGCCCGAAGGGAACGCCTTGAATGCCAGATAGGATAGCCCCCGGGATCACATGGGCCTTAGGGCAACAGAAAACCCAGACGGAACGAATCCATCAAGATGATACAATAGAATGTGTATACGTTCAACGTGACTATCTTGTTAATCCCGACGAGTAAGCCTCAGTTGTATGGTGTAGTGATTTATTGTATGTTTGAAATTCGGAACAGTATGTTAGAAATCTACGTGCCGGGAGAACAAAGCCCCTGCGCAAAAACACAACCATAACTACCCCTATATTTACTACAAATCTGTTAGCTTGTCTCACATGAAAAAACCAATCGTATTATGACGAGATGCTGATCAGTCACTAACCGTGAAAATCCGAAGCTTTGTAGTATACTGACTGGTTACGTCACGTACGACTCCTTACAGTGTTTTGTATAAGCATAATTGATCATCAGTTGTAGAAGATCTGCTTTCGTTCGGTCAGACAGGATAAGAGAAGAGAGAACGTGGAAATTACCGAACAGATTCACCGCGTTCACTAAAGAGTTTCACTGATGATTAACCTCTTCAAGTAGTAACGATCTGTTTCTATCAATGGTACCTATTCTTTCTCTCTCTCCCGGTGTAACCAAGCCGATGTTGAGGTTTTTGTGAAATTAACAAGGATCATAATCAAAAGTGCCCATCGGAAAGCATCGATCGGGTGAGCGGAACGTGTCTCGATGTGGGTAGGTGGGGATGGGAAATAACTAACCATGACACTTCTCCCGTCAGCAGTCTCCTCTTTAAACTCCTCGCCGAAAGTGAACGAGATTGTGGTGGTTTTCAGCGCGGAACACGTTTTCATGGTCATCTTGTTCCCGTCTAAAGTAAACGTGATCTCCGGTTTCGTACTGGTAATCAGTTTCCTTTTGATCATATTGATACCTGATGGAACAGAATGAAATAAAAGATTCCATTATCATTTTCGGTGAAGCGCCTGGCACGTACCGAGTTTATGCAATACGGCATCCAAATTTTCACTACTCTCCAATTTCCACGTTCCAACAAAATGGGCCATGGCGATGACGGCTGGTTGGTTGACTATGCGCTAAACTGATTACACCGGGGAAACACTGACTATGTCTCTATTTATACGGCGAGGTGCGAGCGCTCATGTCTTGAGGTCTGGAACGCTATTGGTCTAGCTCAAGGTCACGGTAATCACCTATCACAGTTCAATTTGAACGATCTGATAAACGTTTATCACACATGATTCACTGAACCGCCTTCCCTCGTACTCGGCGAGCGAGAGAGCGAGGGGCGTAGCAAAGAGGATGGGTGGGTGGGTTTGGATTTGTTTGTCGCTGTGCCTCAGCATGCACAATATGTCAGGTTAAATCAGTGGTCAACACTGGTCAAACACGCATGTTTTCGAAGAATATGCATCTATTACAAACAGAACTGTACGCGACCAGCCACCACCACCACCAGGGTTGTTAAACACGAAGTTACACCAAGTTTATGTTTACGAAAACAGTGCACGCCAGTCAATAGGAAACACTGAATCGGATACTTGATGTATGTGTGTGTATGCGTGCGTGCGTTCTGTACAAGGCAGCAAATGGGTAAAGCGGGGGGAGAGTAACCTATGCATGTGAAAACCATATCCAGTGGACAAACTGGTGCAGCTAATTATGTGCAGCACCTAACAGACACAGGACTCAACTTGACGCAGCACACACGCACACACATACACAAACACACACACACACACAAACACACACGCATTTGCACTCTCACGCAATAGTGCACAAATCTACATCCGAGTGATCCTTTCCCCTACCCACCCCCTACCACCCGTGGACGTGCGCGCGAGCTTCGAGGACTACCAATCGTTGT